TTAATTATTGTTCAGCCGAATTGTTCTTTTCGCGGCTACGCTACGTAATGCACGATAGATCGCGATTCTATTTTCTGGAGTGACATATGTAGTCCAGTAAATAAAATGTCAATGGGGATTAAAAACATTTTTTTCTTATTCGTTTTATTTAATAAAAGAGTCTCAAACTAATCTCTACATAAAATAAAAATAGACCATATTAATAAGTAATTAATATTATAAACTTATTATGTACTCCGGTAATAGAATTTAAAAAATTCATAAAAGGAAAATAGATTTATTGAGTTTTTTCAGGTTTTGTGAAAAAGACTCGATTATGTACATAAAAGATGGTCGTTATCATATCATATATTATACTCATACGCATATAGATTGTAATATACTTTTTACGTGACATCATTCGTATATGTTACAATTCTGAAGATTGATGATTTTGTGAGACACCTCGTATATATACACACATTGTATGACGTGCCTTCGCTCGACTCCGTAATTCTACACGAACGTTATTCCACACGTCGACGAGCATCATCGCGTTAATATTTCATAGCGTCGTATAGTACAAGTGCTACGCTTTACTGATACGCTCGATAGACACGCATGCACATCGATTCATTCGAGATGCGAAAAATGAATGGAGACGATAGAGCTCAGGGAGGAGGTTAATGGCATCGTGGGAAAATGACAGATGATAATGATGTAATAATGAGAAGTAAGACGAATATGATAATAATTAATTAGATCGCCATTCTGTTTTTATAACGTACTCGAGAATTATAAATAAATTGTGCAAAATTAAGTACAATCATTGTTGAATATTTTAATAGACTGAGAAATTACAATTTAAGCTTTTACGAATTAATTATTTTAATTTTACTTTTATCGTTTTACTGTTTTTTCGTAAACTAATTTTATTCTTAATACTTTTGCGAGTTATAAATTGATCTCATTTTCGATCATTATGTGTATTTTTGTGATATATATATTTTTGTAAAGAAATTTTGTTAATTAATTAATGCTAGATATTTTTTGTTAGATAATAGACTTCAAAACAATATTCATTTTGATTTACGATTCGGACGGAATAGTCCATTCTTAATGATTGTGTTTTTTCGAGGGCCTTGAGAATGACGGCTGGTTGAGAAATCGACTGCGGAGGCTGTCTTTACACAGATGTAGAGAAATCGACGTCAGAAGCATTTTTTTCAAGTGCATGTAACTGTCGAGAGATTAGACGCAGACTATTGTTTTCTCACGGCTAGCACCGATTAGCGTTAAAATCGTGCCAATTTATTTTTCTCTCAGCTCAAACTGCAAATAATACTGTAAAATAATTGCAGATAATTTGATATTATATCATAGTCGGTATTTGAAATAAAAACTCTATTAACAGCATTCGCTAAAATAATAAAATCAAACTATAATTTTAATGTCACATAGACGCGCGAAAAAATATTTATGCCTTTGAGGCTTCTACGGTTATTTTCTATAGAAGCTATGCATTTCGCGGATTATCTTCGTGTAGGAAAAAAAGCTATTATTAGAACGCCAACGTGTACATTGCAGTTTACTTCATCAGGACTTTGTTCACTTTATTCTTATTTATTTTATCGTTTCATGTTATTAGATTATTTTTTTATTACAATGTATATGTACAGTTTTCTGTGTAGTTATCTCGTATAAAAATAAATTTTTGTAATTAACTTCTCAAGAAGTTTGCAAGATCATTTTTCTTTACGAGAGATTTTTCTTTATGCCTACTCCTTTTATAGTATATTTACACGGTCGTTTTCTAACTTTGATTACAAAAAAGCGGAGAATTCTAACGTCTTCCATGAAACGCGGAGGCGGCAGATAATGCTATGCATACATATCTAAATTCCCGGTCTAAGGTCCTTTCGTCGGTTCTTTATCATCGCCGTATCTCATTCAGGAAACTGGAAATCGGTCCTTATCTACCGCACCAGAATCGCGTATATCGTTCGACCTATCGAAACGAAGGAATGTATCTCTCGCGGTTGAAAATTATATTTCTTGTCGCATTAGAAAAATATGAAACTCTGGAGGATAAAAAATACGATCAAAAATACATCATATTAATTTAGAGCACATTAAATTTCACAGGTTTTTTTGAAGCCGGTAATTAAGCTTTTATGGACGGAAAATAATCTCGTTATTTATCTATATTTTAGGAAATTTCCTTCATCATCTTATCTAAATTGCAGATATCTTTGGTTGCTTTCTCTTTGACGATATAAGCCGACACGCACATATTGTTCTTTTTTGATATGAAAACAATACAAACTTGTGTTGACTCGTGTCATCAAATGAAAAGCACTTTCGTTCTCAAAATTGTTATTAAAGAAGACGATAAGTGAGATATAAGACGCTCCTATTTTTTAATCGAATTTTTCATTTTATTATGTTCGAAATTTCAATCACTTAAACTTGACATTGAAAATCATACGAAAAAACTTGAAAATCGTAATTAAATTATAAATAAAAACGTAAGCCATTGTTTCACGATATCTATTTAAAAAAAAGGAACATCTTTTGCAAGAGATGATATTAATTATAAAAGACTTTTAAGCGGAGACTACATCAGCATATCTTTTCCTCTAATTTAATAAGCCTTCCACCTTATACCTTCACAATTTCTATGTTTATTTAACATGTTTTATTTTTTCGCGTTTATCACACCTTATTTTTATATTTTACGTACATGTCTCTCACTCGCTCGGCTCGTGAACGATCTATCGATCGCGTGCGCGTTGACGCTTTTTTTTTTTTTCACGTCGATCGCGCGCGAGCCACGAGCCGTTCTCGCTCGAGCGGAACACAAGTAGCCGCGTTGCGAACCGCTCGTGATCGAGAAGCGAGTCGAGTTCTCCTATGTCGGAGCTTGGGTGAAGATGCCTACCGTAGAAAGGCCTGCCGATTTCCGGAAAGAGCACTCTTGCCCTTGTTTGAAGCAAAGGTAAACTGGACAGTGAATAAAAATTTGACCTGCTCCGCATTCCTAGGCGAACCGTTAGCGCTTAGAACCAGTTGACGTGAAAATTCGATTCTCTCTCCCAGGAAGACAAATATGTACGATGAAATAAATCAGGAGCATAGAAGGCTCTGTGCTGGATTCTCTGTGCGTTTCAAATTTTATACTTCGTACTCTACATTAATAATAAACGCGCGCGCGTTTCGACCTTCTAATTAGGTCACTTTCGGTAAGTATCTTCAATAAATTTAAAAATATAAAATCGTTGAGGACGCACAAAGAATCCAGCGTTGATTTTTATGCTTCTGATTTATTTCATTGATTTTATCATAAAGCCTTTATTTTAGTATTTTATATGCGAGCAAACAAATTTGTAACTCTGTGGATGTATTAATATAATTTATAGTAACAATTATGTCCGATATAATTTTTATTATACCTAATTAAACGGCATATATTAAAAATTGATGTTGAGATTTATAATTCAATTATTCTTATAGATTTATATAGAATCTGATCTTATTTCGAGTAAGATATATATATATATATATATTTCATTCGAGTTGGATATATAAAACATGTACAATATTTTAATGTTGCAAATAAGCGAAGATATACATTTCATTGTAACACGCATAAAAGAAGATATATAAACGTACGTAATTGTGTCGAATAGCGAAAAACGAGAATATGATGTCGATTGGAAATAGCGAGTCAGCGTCAGGAGAGAACAACGTAATGCGAGAGTTTGTGCTTCGTAACGAAGTGTGTACTTTGTTACGCAGGTAATAGGAATTGTGTGCGCGCGGTGAAAGAAGGATTACTCATTCCGAGGCTTGTGCGAGCCGATATCGGATCGGTTCGAAACGATCGCTCGTTCTCAACCGGAGAGCCGGCTGCTTTGCCAATTGAGGTCGATTAAGCGTGCTGCTGCTGAGGAAGACGCGCGCGTTTCTCTCTCGACTTCGAGTTGCGGCGAGTTGCGCTCGTTAAAACCGCTCGTCGAAGAGCAATCGAACTACGATGTACCACGCAACAGCCGACAGTGGAACGATCCGTAATCTATGAGGCTGGATTCAGATCAAACGATCGCGAACGAGCAATGAATTCGTTTTAATGAACATGGACGAATAGTATATGAACATCCCTTGTAGAAATTTAATACCAGTATAGTATAGTGAATTAATCACTTATTTTGAGTATTCAAAATATTGTTTTAACAATATTTTTATGTACAATATTTTTAATATTGATGAAAGCGATGAAATGGCTAATATTAAATTTCTGTAAGGGACGTCTTTTTTCTTTCTGCTAAAAGAAAAGAGTTCGTTACGCTCGTTTACGTCGATTCATTCTCGTTAACTTGATTTTACTTCTTTACTGCAGTATCTTAAAATTAACTCCGGTTGGACTGAACAAATAGATAAGAGCAAGCGACTTATTTCGATGAAGTCGACGGCGTCGCAAACTTTGCTTTCGAGCATCGTACATCGAGGAACGACCGGTGAATTCAATTTCCGATTTACGGAAACGGAACTCGCGTTCGTTGTGTCAGCTGTGCCTCGCGTTTCGATCATAGCGTGCCTGAGCATCGAAATCTCTATCTCGGAATCACACCGGAATTTCGGTGGTCGGCTCCGAAGGATTCCTGAATCCCGGCTTTCTCGGATCGTTTCCAACAACAATCGAAGGAGACCTCAAAACGGAAGGTCTTTCGACACCACATTGCGGGCTTTGTTTATATATTATTGTAGCGTTATATGTTTGTCACGTCGCTCCAACATGTTTCATGTTTCTACCATAGCATCTATTTACATCAATGCGCTCGTTGGAGTAAGTAAACGCTAATAAAGTTATTAGCTACCCATTTATTTCACCTCTTCGTCCGAATCTGTGCAAATCGATACGCAAAGACGCGGGAATTAAAATCGTACGCGCGAAATGCGCGATCGATTTGCATCGCGAAAAATCACCTGGCGTTTGTTTTTCCCTTCTTGTCAGACAATACCTTCCGTTTGTTGTCGAGCACAATGTCGAGTCCCTCGGCGAAATGTCGTTGCTGCCGCTACCCCCTGACTGTCGTGGTCGACTGTTGAACCCGAAACTAACCTCACACTGGATTTTCGGCCCTACGGCAACCTTTCGAGGGGTTACCCTAAACTGCGCGCAGCAGCAATGCGTCGATTCGGTTAAAAGATCCTTCTTCGTCTCTCGTCTCTCGGAGGCCTCGGGAGGGATGAGCGTTCTTTCCTTTTTTTTCCTCGAGTGATCGATCTATCGATCGATCCTCGAAAATCGCTTCGCGATTTTTCCTTGATAAATAGCGCGAAAAAAGAAACGGACACGAAAATGCGCACCAGAAGCGGGCGGATGGAAAACCGGAACAAAGCGCTCTTCCGAGCGACGCGTTCCTCTAATTCTCTCTTTCTCTTCCTTTCTTCTGTTCCGCGATGCGAATACGGATCCTGAATAAGACTCGCGCACACGACGCACTGACTGGGCCCGGAAAACGACTGACGCGAATGGCGAAGTACTCGCTCGGGGCCCCACCACTCCGCCATTTTGCTCCCAGTCCGGGAGCTTGGTCGGATGAAGAAGAGGGAGTGCCAGGTGCGTACAACAGTTTCCTGCCGAGATCGCACGTCTTCGAGTTTCCGTGTCGGTAGGCTCTTTCGCCGTTTTACGGAATCCACGCGGCTTGCGTCGTCTTGCGAAATTTTTCTGACAAAGGACATGCCACATTGCGTACACTGAGAAAAATGTTCTAAATTAACATAAAGACCCAACGAGTACAGTTATTTTATATGATGAGGCCAAACATGAATTTTAGATTACCGTAACTAGACTATGATTATCCAACATGTTGGATCTTTTTGTTGGTTTAATCGAATCTAATCTTATTCTTTAATCAAAACGTATTTCTCAGTGTAGGTTGTGTATGAGAACTTAGGAAGAGAAAATTTTATCAACAATTTTGAACGGCTAAGGCCCTGAGCACAATGGCAAAAATATTAAGAGCAGGAAAAAATATTAAGTATTAGAAATTTAAATAATTAGGGGGAGAGATTAAAGCATAATGATGGATATAAATAAGATCTAAGACGTATTACTATGGATACAAATATAAGACATACTTATGTCTTATTTTTGTATTCATTATTATCTGTTACATTTAATCTTTATTTTTTATTTTTTTGTTTCTCTAATATTTATTCCTGTTCCTAATATTTCTTCCAATATTGTGCGCAGTCAAATATGAATTTTTTCAAATGGAGAGGAGTGGAGTAAATGTCTATTCCGTCGTACATTTCAGATTTGCAACTTTCGCATTGAAAATATGAAAATGTTGAAACGTTTCTGGAGGCACCAGAATTTACATGCCTTAATTATGACGACTGAGACTGTTACGAAATGTATGTTAGTACAAATCGCGGAAATGCAGCTACGCTCGCTTGGTACCTCATTTCCTGCCATTCCGAAATAATCTGTCTCGTTGCGCTTCCTTCTCCTCTCCGAAAAATTCAGCGAGGAATTAACTTGTCGCTGAAATGTTCGTCTCTCCGTTTTTCTCAAAAAGAAGAAGTAGATGCTAGCATAAACGAAAATGAACTAATAATAAATTATCTATCCACGCTACGAATTAATTCCAACACCTAATATATATATAATAACGATACTTTATTGTACATTACATGAAAGATTAATAATCGTAATGATGAATACACCAAACACCTCATCGGATTTTCGTCCTCAACATACGTATGAAAGCGTATTTTTAATTCGTATAAGTTACACTCTAAATTTCTTGCAGTGAAATCTCACTCCAAGAGAGTGAAAATGCAACCATCCTTAAAAAAAAAAAAGTAGAAATATTTCACTTCTTGAAAAAGAATGACGATCTTTATTTTTTCTAGAGTGAAATCTCACTCTTTTGAAGTGAAAATTCACTCTGATGAGAGTGAAAATTGTCACTCTTTTTCAAAAAGTGAAATATTTTCACTTTTTTTCAAGGGTGGTTGTATTTTCACTTTCTTAGAGTGAGACTTCACTGTAAGAAATTTAGAGTATAATCCTTTTCCTCTAAAATTCGAGGAACGAGCTTCCAGCGATCTTGACAGAAGCTGGTTCGGCGCAGCGTGCCAATAAAAAGGTACCGTTTTCGCGACGAGTTCAAGGACCAAGAAAGGCCCACCGGCGCGGCCTCCTGGTGGACTCCAGCGACTCTCCGAGCACGATACACGCATCGTGTGAACTCACCTTTGCTTTCTCGACCTTTATCGTGTCTGCGACCGCAGCATCTCGACCAATCTCGACTGGAGCGAGATGAGCAAATATTCTGTCCCTTCTTTCTCTCTCTCTCTCTCTCTCTCTTTTCTTTTGCCTTTCTCGCTTTCAGCTGTTCTCTCCTTCTTTCTTCTTCCTTCTTTGTCACTCCAGATGAGGCCCAAGGTTTTCAGCTCGGTGAATACGCGGTAACCATGCCGGGAACCTGTTCCCTTCTTCTCCTCCTCTCTCTCTTCACGCTCAAGGGGGGTCGCTTCCAGCTCTTTAAAGGCTGCATTTGTACGTTTCCCCTGTGTCTTTCCTCTGGTTCTCCTCTCTTTCATCCTGCGTTTGTTATTATCGTTGTTATCGCGCAGCGCTACCATTAACGATTTAATCGCCATTAGATGTAATTAAGATTGCGCTACTGTTATTCACTTTGCTAATGTCGTTGTCGTTTGTAGAAAACATATATTTTCTCAAGACACCTATTCGAGTAGTAAGATATATGTTCAATAATTTCATTTATTATTGCATTATTTTGTCTGTATTTGTTAAAGAAGCAAATGTTTTTTAATTATTTTAATTTTATTTTTTTATTTTTTTTTCCTATATTGCTGACAATAAATAATTTGTTTCCGCATCGGAATTGAAATATTATCTGTCCGCACTCTCTTTATCTGTGATTAAAGCTTCTTCTGTTCTGCTGATTCCTAGATATCAACTCGTATCGTTTGAAATTCCTGAAGTTCTCTAACATTTTCAGATTTTATCCTGATTTATAAGATATCTGCAAGTTTCGATATAATTTGTCATGAGAAATTCACAAGCACGTTTTCGAAGAGTTTCAATATATTGAGAATAAAATGTTACAACGTTACTTGAAAATTAGACATAACAAAAGAAAAACTATGCAACTTGCGATCTTAGATCTTGCCCCAAATTTCTTCAAAAGAAAGTTCAATTATGCATGTGACTTTTGTAACAAACTGAAACTTCGATGTTGAATATTCTTTTCTAAACCTTTCTAGTGTACATATATTATAATGTACATCAATTTGAAAGTATTATCCATTAGAATTATTTACTTCTACCGACATTACTGAGATCAGCTGTACTACATAATAATGTACATGTTGAAGTGACATAGTCAATATTTTGGAAAAAATTATTTTTTTATATGAATTACTTATTAAAATGCCATTGAATGGAATTAAGAAATTTTTTTAAACATTTCATTAAAATCAGATTCGAAAGGATTGAAATTAAAGTTGCTTACAGTACTAGAGTAACTGAATAATATATTTGAAATATGCCATGTATTATGACTATTTTTAGTGTATGATCATTGTTGTAGCATATAATTTTGCATCAATTTAGGAATTAATTATAGTTCACTTTCCTAGTAAACTTCTTAGTTTAAACTGTAACAACTGTATTCAATCTCTGTAATACTCTATATAATATATGTATAGTTTGTTTATATTACAGCAAGTAATATGAAATAAATCCGATTAACTAATTAGTTAATCGAATTTATTTTTATCTGATTCATACTATTTGCTGTAATATAAACAAACTATACATAAACACACACACACACACACACACATACACACATATATATATATATATATAGTATTACAGAGATTGAATAAGGATTAATATTACAATTGGATTTTAATGGACGATTTGTTTTTGATGAGTGGCCTCAAGTGGATAAGGAGATTTGTGATTGGCAACGACGAAGGACATTGTTATCAATGCATCCCACGAGACATTCGATCTACATCTAATTTCGGTTATCCTTGCGTCGCGGTTAAGTTACTCTCCTGTTAGCAGGGTCGAACATCGAACTACGCGGCGACGACGGCAACATTCATTACCTACGTCTCATGGCAATTATTAATATTTCTAATGAGCGCGTGCCTGGCGGCATACAGAACGCTCTCCGTCTTTTCTTTGAGTCTTGTTTGTCTTTCTATCGTTCGATTTTCTTGTCTTTGAGTTTTTGAGCAATCTTTTTCTATTTCTTTCAATCGTCTTCTGGAATTTTTGAAATTTTGAAAAATCTTTTAACAATAATTATATCAAATTTTCGATAAATTGATATCAAATTGTTATAATAAAACTTACGTAAGTATTAATTTATAATATTTACATTATATATTTTCAAAAATATGAGACTTGTGTTACAATTACATAATTTCAAGACGTTATAATGTTTTCTTGGTTACGGTACGATTAACGATACGATAAGCTTCTCCAATACCGTAAATTACAAATATGACCTTAACTACGTAAGATAATAGGAAAGAGTATCTGAGAACGCATTAATCTTGAATTACTCATTCGCGTCGATTACTTCGAAGTGAGTCGTGTGAAATCGCCTTAAGATCTACCCTTTCTTTCTATTGCAACCTCGGCGCCACATCGGGGCCTTACTACGATACGAGACTTGTAGGCCCTGAAGAGCGAGAGAGGAAAGGACTCCGTGGAGAGTCCTCCACGGCTACCGAGTCGGGTGAAGGAAATTAATGAATGGCGGCGATCTCGGCGGCGTTAATAAGCGTGTACCTGGGAGCGGAAATCGTTATATACAAGGGAGAGGCCCTTTGCTGTTCTTTCTAGAACTCTATCAAGGGATTGTAAACGAAATCGTGCGTCGCTGTTGAATCCACAGTTTTCTGCTTTTCAGGGATATCACGTAGTGTCTCAACATCGTTATAGGCAGGGCACTGTTAATGAATGCTTTAAACTCCTTTGAACTTCGCCGTTCGGACGACGCCGACGGTGCAAAGCGTAACCCTTTCCTCGGGTCGGAAGCAATATCTTCTAGTCTACGTACTTGAACCATCGTACATTACAAATGGAGTTTAATTGAAATAATAATTATAGCGTTTACTGACGAAATGTTTCCAATAATTTCCAAGTTCAAGTCATTGAAATATGAAAATAAAAAGATAATTATATTTCAATTGAAAATATTCTTTTAATACCGACGTACGAAGGTACGATATTGTATTTCTATAATAAAAAAAAAAAAAGTACAATTCCGGAGAATCCGCTGTTACGAAAACGAGCGTCGCGGACTGTTATCAATGAGAAAAGCTGCGAGACTTAATCGCGCTTAATCGCTCGTCATTTCATCTAATTGAGACTGTGGGGGAAATCGGAGATTTGGCCCTGACATCTATTGCCACGCTGCCTTTTGCCGTGTGCCGGTGCATAGGTGAATGCGAGTC